ACTAGTGCTTGGTTGGTACTACTCAGATTCAGTATTAGTACTCGACTCTACTCGCCCTGGTCCTATCCCTCGCCTCGCCTCGCCCTCGCAAAAAACAAAAAAAATGTATTGCATTTTGAAGGGTGAAGGGCATTGCTGAATCTGAACCATCATCCCCATTTCCAATTTCCAGAAATCCTGACCGTGGCTCAGGTGTGATTGCAAGGCCCCCAGGTAGTGGCTTTGAACCAAAGATCTCAGCAGTTTCAATCCATACCTCCTCTATTGACATTTCCTTTGCTGCTGCAACGGATGCTTCCGTGCCTTGGCTTCTCAGGCACTGGAAGACTGGAACTGGCACTGGCACTTGTGTGGATTGAAACGGGGTAGGATAATGGTAGTTTCGTCTTACCCCAAAGCAAAGTGCTTTGAGAAGATCAAATTCAAGAGTTAAGAGTCAGAGTCAGACCGACCGAGACTCCAAAACTCTGATTCCGACTCTCCAACAACGCCGAACAAAAACCTAACAGGAAACAAGGTACCCTGATCAGTGACAACGCTAATGACTTGGAAGGAGTACCCCCTCAAGCATCCAGCTCTGTCTCCAAAGCCAGCCTCCAGTAGTATTGCCCAAAGGAGAGCTTCCAATTTACTGGCAAAATTGGTGGCGCCTGTGAGGGTGTGATGCTGTTGGTTGCAAAACTTGGTCTACTAGTTACTAGTCACCGACTCACTGACTATCACGAATCACTATCACCATCACCATCACCGTGTAATTAATTATGTCAAAAACAACTGATCTGATCAGATCATCTGATCAGGTCACTGTGACTGTCACTGCAGAATGAAATCTTTTGCCACCTCACCTGCCTTGTTCCAAACACATAACAGGCAAGACTCTTCTCTTGGTCGATACGGGCGGGGGGCAGTGCTGGTTTCCAAGGGCATTCGCAGCGGCAGTCACAGCCACAGCCGCATCCTCAATGGACAGGCCGCTTTCCAGATCTAAGGAGTCCAAATAGGCCGCAGTGGCGCTCACAGTCCTTGCAAGTTGCAAGCGCGCTCTGGCTCTGTATTTGTATGGTCCTATTCCTTCCCTCCCCTGTGTACATTGGTTCGGTGGCAGGTGGTGTTGTATTGTATACGGCTTTAGTCTTTTAGTAACCAGTAACCAGGTAACCAGACCAGACTGAAGCCAGAAACACTTAGTAGTTAGTTCAAAGCGTCCAGCGTCTCCGACTCCTCCGAGAAAGAAAGTAACCAGGCCAAGGCCAAGCGGCCACACTAGTCACTAGACTCTAGACGAGTCTAGAATCTAGACCCAATGAAAACTGAAAAAACGACAAAAAAACAAACCATGCTTAAGTAGCCTTAAGCTTAGCTTCATGGGAACTGGGAACTTGGAAACATGGAGCTTCATGGAACCTTCAAATCTTGGAGCCTTCAAGTCCATACGCACACTTGTTTGGGCATCAGGATTGATTCTGATTGAGGACTAAGATTCTGTTTAATTTGAAAAAACATCATCAGTGGTAGTGGTGGGGGGTGACTGTGGGGTGGGTCACAGCCATCAACAGCAAGCCGCTGCTTTTGAGTCCACCGGCTAAAGCGCTTATTCGCATTCAAGGCTAGCTGCCGGCTACCACGACCATATCCTCCTTCCTACTTCCCTTCCTACTGCTGCTGCTGAATCACAACCATATCCTTATCCTCATCATCGCTCAGCCTCATTACGGATTGTGAGCCGTGCAAAGCACAAGTGCAACGGCGTTGTTGGGTTTATTCCAGGCTTTGACTTTTCTGTTCTCAGGCAACGCAAAGATCCTGAATCCCACCTCACTAGTAGTGCTCGTTGAGTAGTGGTGAGTGGTGGTCAGTTGAGTCAGTGGTCAGAGGAAGTGGGTAGTTGGTAGTAGTCTACTAACTAGCACTAGTACTAGTACTAGTAATACTAATACTAAATACTGATTCCTAATTACTAGTAGTATTAGTAGTAGTAGTAGTAGTAGTTGCAGTTGTAGTTGTAGTTGTTGTTGTTGTTGTCATTTGTCAGTTGTCAGTTCAGTTAAGTTGTATTGTAATTATTGAAAGTTAAAGAATTGAATGGAATGAATGGAATGGAAATGTAAAGTTGAGTCAGTCGAGTTGAACGCAGTGAATGAAGATGATGATACTGATTGACTCATGGCATCATGCATGGCATGCGCCCGGCATGGATTAACAATTATATATATTATAGCAGTAGTCAGTAGTACTCAGTAGGAGTACTAGTGACTAGTGCTAGTACTAGTCGCCAGGGGCCAGTTGCGATTCCTGAGTAGTAGTGGGTGGGCTGCAGCTGACGTCTGAAGTCGGTAGGTAAATAGGTCGGTAGCGGTATGAGTAGGAGGTAGAGGACTCATGGACTCAAGGACCATGGCAGGGGCCGACCAACACCACCATCAACCGCCTACCTCCCACTTGTCAGTGGCCCTGGCAGGCTGCCACCCCCGAGAACCCGGAACAGCTTCTGAATGCTGTGACAAGCCTCCGGACGCTGTACTCTTCAATGAGCAGCAATTCTGCTTTTTGATCAGTTGCATCGAAACCTGACCATCACTGACCGTGGCCGTGACTCCAAGACTGAATGATCACCGATCACGACTCACGGCTCCAGGCTCTGACTCAGACTGTCACTGTGACTCATGACTCATGAACAAACAAGTAGCGACCCAACTGATGATCAGCCAACTAGGTCCAAGTGGCATAAGGATAGCCACTCAGAACCAAAAGTGTTTCTTTGCCAGTACATCCTTCTCATCACCATCATTAGTATATCCAGCTTATACTTTGCTCTTGACAGTGTTGGGGCACTTGGTCCCAACTGTGCGTCTGAGTCTTCACCATCACGATCACGATCCTTACAGTGGCCAGTGGCACACACCAGGAGGCAAATTGGGGAGTTGAGTTAAGTTGAGGCAAAAAACAAAAACTTTCAGGAAAATTGGAAACTACGACTATGAGTCACATTGGAAATTGGAAATTGAGGCATTGGAATCATTGGAACCTGTCAGCCACGGCAAAGGAAGGTTGACTTGAGGTCTGAATTGGTAACTATGAACTATGGTATGGTAACTACTACAAGGCTCTGAGATCAATGCCCCCCAACTCTGGAGGTAAATCAGGAAAGTCTGCATCAGAAGTAGTGCTTCCCAGTGCAATTTTCAAACTGGTTCGGAGCGCATAGTCAAAGGACGCCATGGTTTTCAATTCCAGAACCCTTAGCCGAGGGGGGTGTGATTGAATCCAGACTGGGTTCCACAGTTGTCAACTGTCAACAACCAGACATACCTATCACTGTCTGATCTGAGATCTGAATTAAACTTGAACCCAAAAAACTGGGGGCTGAGGCTGGGGCCCGGGGGCAAGAGGGACCAATGGTGCAGGAAAGTTACAATGCCATGTATTGGGCCAATTGCCAAATCCCATATGCCTTTTGCCCACCTTTCTTGCCAACAATCTTTGGCCGCAACTCATTCTGAATGTGCTCCGTCATGAATCCTCCACTGCCAGTGCCAGTGGCCTGCTCACAAATTGGGTTGCCGATGGATATATCAGGCTGCGGCTCTGCGGGTTTCAGTTTTGAACAGTCACAGTCAGACTACCAGGTGACCAGACTCAGACTCCAGAAGTCTCAGTCTCAGACTCTCAATCTCGGAATCACAGTGACAGTTCGAAAGCTTCTCCTCCTCTGTAGTAGTGTTTGTTTACCACAAGTTTTACATTTCCTGGATTCATGGCCTGCATCAACGCAGTCATTTCCTGCATTGCAGATCTGTATCTGTCCACCTCGGCTGCAGCTGTTGATAGACTAAGACTCAGACGTCTCAGACTCTCAAACTCAAACGACTTGAAAAATCAAGACTGTGTGCCCTGTTCCAGTGCCCTAGATTTTGACCTTACTTCAAGGCTTCAGGATTCAGTCTAATTTACGATCCAAAACTCGTCTTGCTTTCCTCGGACTCAGTCAAGTCTGCAAGTCTGTAATCTAGAATCTAGACTCTAGAAAAGGAAACCGGCTCAACACCAATCTCCCTGTCATTCATCCAGTTCTTTATTGTTTCTGCTTCTGGAACCGACTGGAACCTTATCATGGCTGAGACTCCTCTTCTTTGGTCCCATGCTCAAGCACTGGTCCAGCGGCAGCGACAAGATGGTCATAGGCAAACGCAGCGGAAGCTGCAACATTCTGCATTCATCAGCTGGGATCTACAGTAACCCTCAGAAGTATAGGTGTCACAGTCTTAAGTCAACCAAAAAACATATGCATCCTTAAAATTCCTCCTGAAGTCATGTTACCTGTGTCCCTTGGTTGATCGGCTATATGTTTTTTGTCAACACGCTACCCACATGCTTGCGGGGAAGTAACAAAAAAGGTAGTGGACCCCAATGAGCAAAAAACATAGCGTGGGAACGAGCTTCCATTGGCAGATGCACACACCACTTGAACACAGCCAGCAGTCTTGCGCTCCCAAACACTCAAAAACCTGGGAATTATATAACTGCTCAAAGTTTCTTTTTGGCCCAGTGCTTTATTTTAGATCATTTCTCTTCCAGACCTGAAACTGTTCTACCAATATTACATCAAATACCAAAAAATATATAATATTTTTTTGTTATTTTCACGGTGGGGTTGCGAAATTCCACATAATTTAAACAACAAAAAAACATATATATATAATATATATATATTATATTGAATGTGTGGTTTTGAGTAACTGGAGTTGGAGCATCAGAGTCAGATCACGGAGCAAAGTTATACAATTAAAGGTGATTTGCTCATCCAAAAACATGTTAGCTCTGGAACGTGGATGAACATTGTACAACTCCGACACATTCACCCAATGTTTTAGACTTTAATTTGTCCAGGTCCAATGGAATCAGCAAAGCATGCGATGCTTCCACTCAGCAACTCCGGTTCACAGAAACATCGGCGCAGCGCAAACACAAACAGAACCCTATGGCCCCCCCAAGAGGCCGTCCTTTCCGCATGCACTGATGCAGGCGTTGTACGTGATTGTATCTTGCTGAACCTGTGCAAACTGCAGCAGTTTACAACATACAAAACGGATTGCAATCCAAGGTGATGATTGTCAGCCAGTTGGAACACCATCTTGGTGTGGTCTTCCAGCGAGCCAATGGAGTTCGCATTACTTCTTCGCACATGGTGAATCTTGGTAGCTGCAAGATATATATTATATATACACGATCTGCCACAGTTCTACAAATACAGCAAAAGAATATGACCGGCCTCTGATGCTTGCATGTTGGACATCAAATCTAGGGCGACATTCCATCGGCCCTGCTTCTCGCAGCTGCTGACCAAAGAGTTCAGGGCGATCGTATCCAACCTACACAGGACATGGCAGACTCTTGGTGGCAGCCGAGAATGAAAAAAGCCTTCCAATTTCCGGCATACTCATCACAACATTGATAGTTTTGTCCGGTTTCTTGACATTGACACATCACACCGGTGTGTGTGTGCGCTATTGGACAATCCAAAAGTAGCTTAACCTCCGCAAGCTATTTCTCGCATGATGAGACAAAACTTTGTTGCCAAATCCATGAGGTTGGGAATGGTGGCGAGTTCATGTTGCAGATCCTAGCTGAATATGATGTGTTCCTCTTCTTGGTGGACAAAACCAAACAAGCTCATGTTGCATCATGTCATCCCCTTGGGCCCAGCCCGACCCCTCATTCATCTTGATTATTACTTGTTTCATTTTCGGTCTGGGGCTTTACACCCCAGTCGGCCCAGGTTGGACACTTGCTGCCTCCAACCTGTGGAGAGCACGAGACCTGGACCTGGTCAATCCGAGGCACTGGACCTGCTGGTCTTCCATCTTCTCCAAAAGCGCCAGCGCCAGCTGCCAGATGGCGCCACATGCATTGATGGCGCTGCTGAAGGAGATCGTGTCGTAAGCAACCTCTCAACCACACAAAGAACCAAGAACGATGCTGATGTGAAGGCACCACCTGTCACAACTTCATTCTTCGCTCAACCTGACTTCTCGGTTCTTGTAAGAGGTATTGCTTTTGCAAACAACAACCGTCAATGAACATCAACTTGGCGCAAACTTTTCTTTATTTAGGAGCCAATCGTAAGCGTTTCTAAGAGTGGATTGTGAGGCAGGACCGGATCTTTGAATGATGCGTGTTTTCCTTCAGATTCTGAAAGCCCGAAACAAAAGGACAACATAATTTAATCTTGTAATAGTAACAACAAACATCTATTGAGCGTCTGGACCAAACTCGAAGCTTATGGACAAGCGCTGAACGGCCAGTTCGGCACCTGGATCTCCTCCATCTCTGTCAGCAACATCAAGGCTGGAGCCCATTGACGCTTTCGTGCGCAAGCACTCAGCACACAGTTGAAGTGCACTGTGCTCACCTCACAGAGAAAGGTGGAAAATTCTGGAGCGCATTGGAATGAATCGAAACCCTGATCTGGCGGGAAGGTGGTCAACTCATTGACTCGTTGAAGGGCTGTCACTACGTCACTAGGATGCCTTCTTTGAGGGAACTTTCTGAGTACGTCTTCCTGTGTTCTGTTCTCTGGGCTTGCCTTTGCCAAAGGATCTGAACTCTGTAAACAGCGTGCCGGTTGGCAAAGGCGCAAAGTCCACGGGCGATGCCTCCTGCCTCCAAGTGATTTTCCTGCATCGCCTGCAGCACGTGATGACACAGCTGCAGCTCTTTGGCCTTCGCCAGCTGTGAGAGAATCCAGGTTCCTTGCTGTGGAGCCTTCCTCCATTGCTCCAAGACCTGGAATATCTAGGACGAAGCAGTCGGATTTGAAGTGGCTCTATGGGGGGTCGATTCTATTCTCAATGCTTCATGCAATTCTCATCATTCAGACTCGGGGAACCATTTTATATAGTCTGATTGGATTGTACAAAGATGTACGAAAAGGAGCGTGAATGAATGGCTGTGCATCTTATTGAGTTCTCACGGTTTTAAGAACAAGAAGCTACTAGAAACAAGAAGCTACTAGGGTCTCCTGGCCTTACTACTAGGAGCAAGGACGCAACTAGGGGCTCCTGGCCTTACTACTAGGAACAAGAAGCTGCTTGTTGGTGCCAAGGGACTTCTTCCAAGACGGAGTGCAAGGTCTGATCCCGGGCATGGAGCAATGCATGCAGCAGGTCATCACGGGGCGACACACGCATTGTCGCTAAGCATGGCTTTGTTCACGTGCAGGAGGGCATGGTGCCTTTTGGAAGTCAAGAAGTCTGCGAGTGACACCGCCTGCAACATGCAACCGCTCCAGTATTCTCTGCAAATAGACTTTCTGCCAGTGGTTTGGAGATACAGCTTGGCGAACGTTGCGCTTTGCTAATCATACGTTGAACTCTTTGATTTGTTAAGCCGCTAGTTCTTGATGATAGAACAACCCTGAACTCTGGACTAAGCAGAATCACATGTTGGGCTTGGACTTTGCCTCCTTCCTGCATGAGAATTTCACAAACATCCAAGAACACAAAATATCTGATGTTGTCTGATTAAAAATACAGCTGGTGTCATCTTCCTTTTGCACACATATCTGTACCTCAGCATGGCTTTGCCAGCACCTTTGTACAATGCACCGGTCGTCTCGCATCCGGTCTCAGAATTGTAGCTCACTCACACGACCTGAACAAATGCACAACGTGGAAAAAGTAAGTTGGTCCGTACCAACTCAAGCTGACCGTGGCAACCTGAGTTCTGACCATTTGGATGGTCATAAAGTTAGGATATCCAACCAGCCAAGTCTAGAGTGAAAACCATGGACGCAATATTAGATTATTAAGACCTTTCTTCCTTTTCATGTGTTCTTTGTTTCTATATTAGTAGCGATGGCCTCCAACCTACAGTAATAGCGATGGCCTCCAACCTAAGAGAAGTCGGGTCTCCGCGACCTGTCGTTTGTGCTGTGCTTGTGAAACCAAACATGACGACGGCCGCCAACTGGCGTATTGGGCTCCAAGCGGCGTCAGTAGCTGCCAACTGGCGTGGTGGGGGCTTAAACATATCACATTCATGCTGTGATATCTGATAGCCAGTGCCACACCATGGAATAGTAACGCATGCCACGGTGATTCTGATGAGAGGAGAGGGGGGTTTTCGATTGCAATACTTCAAAAGAAACGTATCTTCTGACTCATTAATTGAAGGTATTCTCGGTATCGCCATGGTAACATGTTCGGCACGATAAAAATCCTAAACAAGCAAGAAGCACATTTTCGCCACATCACACATAACTGTTTTGCTTGTTTTCCACATCGCGCAAGAGAATACGGTAAGCTGTTTGAGTTTGGTATGTTTTGCATGAACTAACGCGGAGATTGCTTGGCTCCATTGTCTAATATTGTCACTGTAGGCTACAGTTCTTCAGCCTCCATATCGGTCTGCACCTCAAACTCGACACGCAAAACCGCTGAAAAGAAATGGACATGGCATGAGATTCCCTGCTGTACGTTGATTTTCTGGACATCAACGCAGCTGGGTCCAGGTACTCCGGCTTTTGAGTCTAAAGCAATTACTGAGTCATCAGGTATGAACATGTGCACAAGGAATCGTGTAAAAAACTTGATTCTAAATGCTAATGACAAACATTAACACACGCACACACTTATATACAGTGCTCTACAAGAATCATGAGTTATGAGTTGTGACGAATACAGTATTCCTCCTGGATGCTTTGTTCAGCCATGTTCAGGTTGTCCTATCCCTGAAGTAGAATCTTTTTTGAGAAGAATGACTCAACAGTTTGATTTCTTTTACATGGCGTCAGCAGCTCGTGACAACATGCTGATGTTCGCTGATGATTCTCTTGGAATGAAGTCACCTAAGGCGCTCACGAACATTGTGGGGAAGTCCGCCATGTCATCAATCACCACAGACGCCTGGAATGTATGCAGTACTAGGCCACAGTACTGCAAGTATAATTACCTCCCTCCAACAGACATGGAAGTGGACAAACCCCTGTAGAGGAAAATGGTCTTTCCGAAGGCCATGTTCCACTTCCATGATTATTAGAGGGAGGGCAACCAAGGGTGGCAGCTCGGTTGATTGAACGCCCAAACTCGACTGTCAGCAATGCCCTGTTTGGAGAGATGCAACTCAATCGCACCTTGTCTACCACGACCCCCATTGTTCTGTAGTAAAAAGCAGGATCAACACCAAAGTTGACCCACCATTCCGAACAAGCCAACCATACAATCTAGCAAGACCACCCAAAAACCTCCGAAAACCATCCTAAGAAGCCAATCGTCCCATCTTCTTCTGCATCCGCCGAGATCGCGCCGAGATCCGAAGCCTGTGCATTCGCCTGGATGAAGGAGGCTTCCTCCTCCTCAAAGGTGGCACCACTGGAGACTTTCACCTGAAGCCTGGCCGCGCGCAGCCGAGGTGCCGAAGAGTGGCCTTTTCTCCAGCGGCCCGGAGCTTGGAGAACTCCACCCAGAGCGCGTGGGGTGGGGTACGACGTTGTCCCTAGCCTTCAAAGACATCTTCTTAGCATGGTTGACCCTGGTCCTTTTGTAGTGTAAAATCTGTCGTAAAACAATCATGGTGGTTCGGGTCAAAAAAAGGCGATGATTTCTCCACAGCAACAGCCCGCCGCTGTCAACGGCGACGGCCCCAGGCCCGCTCTGCCCCGGTTGAGCTCCCCGGCAGCTCTGTCTTCAGGGCTTCCGCCTGGTCGATCGTTCGGTCGATGGATCCGGGGGTCTCCGGTGGTCGAAGAGTCTCGAGCGAAGCCTTGTGCATCCTCCTGTAGACTCCGCACAGAACAAAGTGTGCTCTTTTTGCTGGAGCTCGTTCTTTCTTTGAGAGAAACCCCATCCATCCAATCCATCTAACGGAGTCACCTTCAGCATCTTCGTATTTGACCAGGCTAGCAACGCATGAGCTCAATCCACCCATGGCCCAAAAGCAGCAGGAGATGCCTCTGCCATCTCAACAGCCTCAATCTCCTCCTCACCGCATGCCTTACACAATCAAATTGAACATGGGAAACTGTATTGCCCACCCGTCCCCGGAAGCCCAAGATCATCAACAAAATCCATGTCCAACGGTGGTTGATCTAAATTCCTTCTTACGAAAACACAATTCTTCGCGAAACAAATCTTTACTTTCACGAGTCTTTCGTGAACTCCATGTTTAACTTTCGTGGTGGGGTATATCCTAGAAGTCTCCTGTTTCCACATATCTATCTTTTGCAAATCTTTCGGGAACAAACCATCTTATAGGGATTCACTGTAAGATGGCACATGCAAACCTGGGACGGAACATGGCATATGAGTCAAAATCAACCTCAGCAACCTCAAAAACCTCAAACGCTGGAAAAACGCGCATTTGTCCACATTTCCCCTTTGTCACTGTACTGTAAAGATCATGCTATGAAACATGTGTCCTACTTCTTTTCCTTTCCTAGATTTTTATTTTGAGCCTTGCTCTCTCTCTCTCTCTCTCTCTATCTCTCTCTTCTTTCCCCTGTTTTCTACCTTCCTCCTGAGAGTCTCCCCTCTCATCACCTGGCATCTGATATGTGCCAGCTTAATGGATCCACTCATCCCAGCTCTCCGCCCTTTTTGGTTGTCTCTCATGGCACGAGTAAAAGCAAAGTTTTGGAGGGATAAGTTGGCATCCCTACCTGTGTGCCATGTTTCTTTTCCACTCCATGATGTCACCCGTTGCTAGTGGTCAACTTGGCATTTTGAGCACTTTTACTTGTGCCATCTTACAGTGAATCCCTATAATGTTCCAAGCTTGAAACAAGAAAACGTTCGCAAACAACATAAAAGCCTCTCAATGAACCTATAGGCCTTATGTTACCCTTTGATCAACTACCAGGGCTAACGACAGAAGACAACACTTGCGCACACACATTTTTGTTAGCACATGTTAGCACCTTGTGATGTTACGGGATGATGATGAGGGGGAGCTGGTGAACTTGCCTTGAAGTGTTGCATTTGAACGGCACTTATTTCGGACATCAGCTATATCATTATAGCATGCTATATCAACCCAATCGCCAAGTTCAACAAACCATCATCAACCTGTTGAACTGCCGTGCCTCCTGGTCTGGACCAATGGCCAAGGACTCCTGGAGTCGCCAAATCTAGATTTGGCGCAGAATCCATGTCTGGTTCCATAAGGTTCCTGAATCAACGCGCAAATTGTACTTCCAAAAGAAATATCCGATAAGTCGATAAGGCATCCTCAGGCCCTCAGACCAAACACATCGGCCCTTCCTACAGTAAGAGTTCCTAAGTGGTCTCATCGTTTTGGGTCGGATCGTCCTGCAGGGCGAAGAGTCCCATAAGCAATAGAGGAAGCCTCACGAAACGCCGACTCAACACCGAACAAGCTACTAGGGGCTCCAGTCATCGCTACTAGGAGCAAGACTGGGAAATGCAAACGCTTGCAACCTCATGTTTTACATCTCTTTGCCCTTATGCAGAAGATTGCAGAAGGATGATGTCGTTTGTGCGAAGCTCAGCCCGGGCCTGAACATGCTTCCGTCTAGTTCTGGTTCGGTTTGCCCGAATCTCGCCTTGAGCAGTCAAGAAACTAACAATGCGCAGGTTCTTGAAAACTGAAAACTGTCCAATCTCTAGGTCCCTATGTGCTCCACTTCGAAACGCGAAAGTTGCAAGCACCAAATGCCCCCACTTCCTTGAAGTCTCACACTCTGAAGTCTCACCTGATTTGGAGCCTTTCCACTTCACCATTGTCTTCAATGACGCACTTTTGAACCCTTTTACGTTTGATACCCAAGTCTGTTGCGAAGAAGACGCTCAAATTGCGCCATTACAATTCGTCATGCCAACAGCGCGACTGGCAGCAGCGGCCGAAATCCTTCAAAAAGGCGCTGGCGGCCTCTTGAGATGCCAGAACATTTCTTGCATTAGTTGAATGTCTGCTTCCTGGAGCAGTATGGTGTATTGGGCCATCCAAGTGTTTTTCGTGGCCCCAATTAGCACACACCATACCATACACATAAAACAGGTGTCCATCACCAGTCACCAGTGGGTGGTCATAGCAGGGTGGTCATGGCCCCAGCAGTCCAATCTCTGGAAACAGATTCCTATGCTTTAAGGCTCCGGACTGCTGTTGGGGTTCCCTACCCAGCGAGAGCTGAACCGAAATGCGAGGCGGCGTGCGCGTCCTTCATTTGTGGTATGGTGGAATAGATGTCTCGTGGATTCCCCGAAGATGCCAACGACTATCGGAGGTCCAGCTAGGACCAAGACCAGCATGTTGACTCGATGAAATTATATAGCAAAACAACGAGAAAGGATGGCCGGCATCAGAGGGCGTCAGGTTAAGTTTCTTTTTCACATCTCAAACTGTCGAGATTGTTCACATCTCTAGAGATTCACCTCACCCATATTTCATCATATTTCTCTGTTGACCCTGCCCTGTCAGGAGATGCTCCCCTTCTTGCACAGTCAGCTCCAACCAAACAGGCAGTCGCGCACTATTTTCTGCTTGTCGTGAGCATTAGCTGCACCATGCTGCATCAACTTCCCTCTCGTGAAAATGTCCGAAGTTGTATAAACTGACCTTGAAATACACATTGTGGCTGCAAGATTCTGCCAACCAAAAATATATTCAAGCCATCAGGGCACCGCTGAGGCAAAAGCTATAGATTCTGCTTATGGTCCCTGCCTCTCTGTACATCAGGCTTGCATCTTCTGGATCTCCATGTCGAAAGCTTCGAAGAAATTGAACCAGCCACTATTTCAAACTCCAAATTATGCAAAAGGTTCAATCTCATCGCGATGATTCTATGATCACCGCCTCCAAAGTCGTGCAAAACCGTGAAGGTCTCTCTCTGATGCTCAGGAAGGGCGTAAGATCACCGGAAGTTCATGGACTAAAGGTGGATCATCAATGCGTCACGAAGGATTGATACTGCTCTATAGCTCTGACCGTTCCTGGGTTCTTCCTGCGGGCGCCGGGAGCTTCGAGGCAAACACCCAAAGGCAAACATCATGCCCCTGCATGCCCCTGCTTGGAGACGAAGTTAGAACTTTTGGGAACGAACCAAAGGTACCGGGGGGGTTTGTTCGAACCTGAGACAAAGCCTTAAGACATATGGTCTCAACTATTCGCAAATGCTCCACGTAATTCATTCACCCGACCAGCACCCAAATGTCGGCTATATTGGCTTAAATGAAGCATCCGTCTGATTAGTACAGGCCCTGAATGAACGAACTTTTGTTTGAAACCTGAGCAGGGAATGAAAAATAGGTCCTTCTGCCCTGACAAAATTGGTCCTTCTGTACATGTGCAACATAATGATCACCAAGCATGTCAAATCGACATAGGTGCAAACCTGTTTGACTTAACAATTGTAAGACATTGTCCCTCTCTCCAGTTAAAATTCTAGATTCATTGACCTTCTCAGAAATGATAACATCACCGGACTGCCTCGCTTCACATGGCACTAATTCCTTGTTCTCAAGCCCTGTCAAAATCGGTCAAAGTTCTGAGTGACGTTGCGAACTCTAAACCAGCAAGCAAACGTCCTCACTTTTGCATCCAGTAGGTTGAGAATTCCATCGACCCCAAACTACACCCTTCAATACAAAATACGAGAATGAATACAACATTATTCTGCTGATCATCTTGAAACTCATCTTGAATCTCTCCAGGTTTCAATCCTCTCCTCCATCCGAAAACCGCCGCAGCAACGGCAGCACGTAGCGGGACACCACACGCTCTGGGCTGAAGTCCTCCACCATGCGCCGTCGGGCGGCCTGGAGAAGGGGTTCAACCGCCAGCCATGTTTAACCATTACAAAGTGCTAGGAGTAGTACTAGGATGTACTATATATATATATAGGTATTGGTTGTGGAATACGATCAGTAGCTCAAGATTCCCTATAGATCATGTGTCGTGTCGAGGATTTCGGAGGATTCTGTGTTCGGGACTGTTCATAAAGTGTGCTCGTCTATAGTTGCTCACCTTACATTCAAAAATCCTAGTTCCTCAAAACGGTGTATGTTTGTGTATTGCCCATGACACAAATGGTGTGTGGATATTTCAATTTTATGGTCTAACATCAAATTGTCAAAGAGCCCTATATGGCATATGTCATGGCCAAGCCTGTTGGCCCTGTGGCGTTGCCGGTGAATCCCGGCAGCAGGTCTGTCAGTTGTTCAGCTGACCAAACACGAGGTTAAACAAAGAAGCACCATCACAAGCTGTATGTCTCTATGTTTCGATCTGACGCCAAGCTGGCAGGTTCAATTCTGATAATGAACAGCACAATCTTTGAACTTTGCACACTTGAACATGCACCACCAATCAATCACAAAACTACACCACCTGCACATTATTTCGACATGAGCTAAACATAATTACAAATCCCAACAATACCGCGTAACCAATCGCAGGCATGCTTCCTGCCTCCCAACCTTGACATCCTCCACAGGTCTTTCAGACTCGACTTGCTTCCCGATTCCCAGGGCTGCCGTTTTGCTGGTTCTACTTCATGTCTGAGCGCCTGGCCAAACTACATGGCTGAGCTCAATTGGAAACTTCTTGTGAGTTACGCCAAAAGCCTCTTTGGGCACTATATAAATGCAGGGAACACAGAGGTGGAACTTCATTGAACCTCATTCAGAAGACCATGGCATTCCTTGGGGATGTGGAAACTGTACTTGCATGTTGTTCCATTTTGGCAGTTCCACCTTAGGATACATTGCAGAGTTCCAGGTTCGACCACTCGAAGCTGGCAGGTTTCATTTTTCCCAGCAAGGCGCCATAAACCACGACAGGCCACGCTGCCTGCCGATCATCAAACTCCAAGTCGTGGCCATCGGTGTTGCCCGGAATCACATATTCCCAAGGCATAAAGGGAACACCCAGATCAGCCGCTGCCGAGATGTGGGCATAGAAGAGGTCAGGTCTCTTATACCGGTCTTTGGTGCCAAACTCCTCATGCACCACTTTCCTTGGCCAACACGCAAACATATGAAAAGGAAAGAACATACCCACTCACTGTTGATATGCAGTGATAGTGATAGCTGAAGATGGAATCTTTCCATGAGTCCTCTCCAACTTCCACCGAGGCTCTTGCCATGCTTCATGCCCAAATCCCTCGCTTTCTCGATGCTGTTATACATGTCTGTCCAATTTGGCGCGTTATAGTCGTGCAACGTCACCACATCAATGTTCGTGCAATTAAAGAATTCGGGACGACTGCTATCTGCAAAGGCCCGGCCTCCGCCCGTGCCAATGAGGATCTCCTGGACTCGACGTATCATCCCCAAGGATATATTGATATCTTTCGAGCTTAAAGCATGAGACACTGTGAAGAAACATATAGTTTCTATATGGTTCTTTCCACAACAAAAGAAGTGAAAACTATGTAACTATCTATTCACCAAGTGGCTGAGTGGAGGAGTTTGCGCATGACATTGGCCCGCGCACAGTGCCATCCTGAGACCCAGGAGGAGTCCAATCCTTGGGCCTCGTTCTGAATCTCGAACATGGCCACGACCTCTTTGAGCTCACTCCACTTCTTCTTGAAATATGGGTTCCTCAGGCCAAGAGGGGGGGGGGGGGGCAAACTTGTTGCTGTTGAGGCAAAAGTAGTTGCGTCCATTGCGTCAAGCTGAACATGTCTTAGTAGGACTTAGCAGGACAGAACATCTTGGATCAAATGTCAAACTGTCTTGAAGCACCGGTGTGTTGAGGCACAACCCTAAGACTCATCATACTTACATACTTTTTTGCCAAAGATTCGTATGGTTCAAAATGGTCTCTAAGCGCTGGTCGTAGAACTTAGTGGCGTTTTCATCCTGGTAGAACTTTGTGCCATCATTCCTCAGCTGCTATCCAACTCGCGGGTAAAACATTACCAAGAGCTGCACATTCTGTTCTACCGTATTTCTCTGTACTTCGGATCATAACATGGACAGTCGTGCCGTTGTGCATCGTTGTGCTGCCACGGCTCGCAGATGTGCAACCCGTAGTGGAAAAACCCTTTTCCTCTGGAAGGCACTTCAGTTTGAGGTCCTTCTGATAGCCGTCGCATGACCAGCAGCCAAGTGCATATCGGTCATGCAGTGCGATGATGAGTTTAATACCGTATTGCTGCGCCTTGAGCATCAACTTGTCAATCATATTCAATACGGTGTAATCATATTCTCCTATGTGCTTGGGCTCGAAGTGAGGCACAAAGGGGCTTGCGGTGCCTTTGGCATTCTTGTCAACACCTGCGACCCAAACACGGACGGCTTTCAGCCCAAAGCTTTGCAAGTCTGACAGAATGGTGTCTTGGTGATCCTCCGGCAAGGCGTACAAGAGGTAGGAGTTCACTCCACCCCAGTTGCATTGATTCGTTTTATCCGTATTCCTCGGATCCAAAACCATGCGTTCGGGAACTAAGGGGATCGGAGTCGTGGTCGTGGTCGTTGGGCAGTGCGGTCGAAAGTGGTATGAAGAAAAGTGATGGTGATGATACCAGTTGTTCGTCGCGGAGAGATCTGACTGCAGTGCGTGCGCACAAGACAATGCCACCAAGGAGATTCTGAGCATGGCCATTGTCAGCTGATCAGCTGTCTAGTAGAAAGTAGAACGTGGGGAAGCAAATTGTGCTTGAGAAAGTTGACGGGTCAGGTTCATCCTCAGCGATAATCATTTTCTACAACAACCCTCGGAAGAGCTGTAATGTTCACATATTTTCACTACTGTGACTATGATGAAATACAAGTCACATCAATTCACCAATGTCTCCATCTCCCATCCATCCAAAGTCCTGCCTCTCCCAACTTCTTCGCCTCCCCTGGATGCTGCTGCGCCCAGCGCATCAGCCGCCGCAGCGCTTCACTTGAGGGCTCGGCCCAGCGGCCGACGGCGCCCTCCGCCTTCGCCAGGCCGTCGATGGGAAGCGGCAAAGCGATGTCCGCGGACAGAAAGTCCTCGGACTTTTGCGATGTTCAAGACATGGGAGGCAGAAAGAGGCAGAAGGAAGAAGAGAAGAATGGATTGACATGTCAGATCTATTTTACATGGTCGTTTTACTCTGTTTTGTTTCAGGATACCACCGTACCCTTCAGGCCTTCAGGAAGGTTCTGGGTAGGAGCGGATGGTCCGCTTTTGTGCATGGACCGAAGGAAACTTGTTTTTTCCGTCCGAGATGGTTCCGCTTGTGTGCCCTTGTTCCTAGTAGCTTCTTGTTCCTAGTAGTAAGGCAAGGAGCCCCTAGTAGTGTCCTTGCTCCTAGTAGCGATGCCCTTTGCTCCTGCATGTTTGTGGGGGGCCTTTGGGAGTCCTGATCCGGATCTTCCTGGACGTTCCGAATCTTCTGTGGGCTTCGAAAAGGAGCGAGCCCCGAGTGGCTCGGAACGCGCAAGGTCAAGAAAGGTCATTCCCAGATCTAGGAT